ACACGTCAGCAAAAAAGAAGATACTAGACAACGTAAAAGAAAATTAAACATGACTGCAACAACTGACATGAATGATAACTTCTGTTTCAGACGGCGTGCGTTTAGCTGGAAATTGAGAGGTCCCATAAGGGATTCATGCATATGAGCTCTTTTTGTTTGACGTGAAACGGTCAACTGTACATTTTCGGATAGACAGCTAAAATGCTAGTTTGTGGACAGTCAAGATATCAATTGTTACTAAATATTGGATGTGGTGGAATGCGGGAAAGTGCTTTAAATAGGAAAAGATTGCAAACATGACAAAATTTAGAAAACCTCTCATCTCCCTGAAACGCATACTTAAGTGGTCCATGCTTACTTTCTTTACGTAGACGTCTGCACTTGGACGTAGTGGTCTGAGGGACATTCACCTCTGGCAGGGGAATTAAATACCAGCTGAGAGTCTGAAAACTATCTACAGTAGATTTCTTATCTCAAAGAATGTGTTTTCAATTCGTAATTTTGCTTATCTTGCAGCATACTCTCAAGAAACCTCAGTCACATCAGGATGTTGCAGGGATCAGAGACCGCAGGCGTTTCGTATGGCGGTAGCCTCTCTATAACCAGCGTTCAAGTGAAAGGGTCCAGTGACCTGCTTAACCCGGGTTCAAAGCCTGGGGTACTCTGACGCCTGGGGTTTTTACGTGGCTGGCTGATGATGCCGAATAAACTGGAAGCAGCCTTTTCTGCCGCCTTCTTTTTGGTGGAATAAATTTAAACACTGAACGTTTTAGGCCACAGGCATCATGAGAATCAGAACCTGAATTTCAGACGCAACCCTTAAAACCTGTCTTTGGTTAAAATGAATAAAATATTATGAATAATCGTCACGGTACTATCGATGTATTTTCCAAATGTAAGTACGCAAAAGATTTGGTTTCTCTCTACTTCGAATTGCAAAAAACAAGCTCGGGTTAAATGGCTATTCAAACAACTGATGACTGCGACCATTAGGACGACAGCTGATGGATGCGGTTTGTTCATACATCGCCAAGAAAACCTGATCCCTAGAAGTAAATAGTGTGATCAAAGTTCTTGCGACCAAAGATCGCTTGGTCTGTTACTTTCACTTCTGAGCGGCAAGACGAGTAGTGAAAAAGTTGCGTGCAAAATGTTACACGAGTGAACGAGCGTTCACGAAAGGGCACAACTAACGTCAATGCACAATGTGACTGCGTCCCTTAAATTTTAGCCCAATTAAGAACGTAATAATCAAAAAACACAGAAGAAGGGTCTTCAAAGGCATTGCCTACTACCGTAAATATACTGAACTAAGTAAGGAGGGGTTTAGAGGTATAAATATCAGAGCTTCCGT